GAACCCAGAATGATGTTAAAGCTGATTGTATACTGACCAGCTCAGCAGCCAGAGCCAGATCTTAAACAGGTAACAAAGACAGTGATGAGAAGTAGGGATGGGTTCCCAGTAGTTCAGTTTCTTGGAAATGTTAATCTGCTTGCCTATCAATCAAGTATATCAGTTCCCCTTGCACTGCGCTACAATCAACTGATTTCGATTTGTGTGCTGGAAGAAGAAAGCAGCTGTGCAGTCCGCAGTGTAGATATGGACATTACTTTTAATTTTATTGCACAAAAGGACAAGAACATGATGGTAAAGTGCAAACTGCATCCAGGGACGAAACAACTACTTTACACTGCTCACACAAATTTAGCTCTCTGCAAGCATCTGCACAGATAGCATGCTAACGCTAAGCTAGCCAAGAACCGAGAGTGATGTTAAAACTTAAGTGAATGCTGACCCCCAGCCCAGCAGGCTGGGTCCTGAACTTCAACAGGTAACAAAAGCAGTGATGAGCAGTGAAGCCACTGTTCCTACCTGTTCATGTTTCTAAAGGAGAATCCCAGTGCATGGCCTGGAAGTTTTTAGAGATTGTTGTGAAGTTGTATTGTGATGGTTACTTTTCATTTTTTCAGTAAGGCACAGTGCCCTTCATTTCAAACTACTCTGTGTACATGGATGTCAACATTACTGTATGATATGTCTGATTACTGAAGAAAGAAAAACAGTGTGACCACTAAAAGAAGTTGGCTAGGGTCCACCAAGCATTTGTGCCCAGGGGTCTGTAACTTGATGATCTGGGCATGGGTGGCATCCAAAGAATTACAGAAATTCAGGAAAACTTTCAACCTCTTGAAAGCACATGGATCTACATGGCAGTAGGACCCACAGCATGTATTACTAAACTACAATAGAGACAATAAAGTTCTTTGATTTATTATATTCAAGTCATTGAAGTCAATGACCCCAACAGAGTCCTTTACAACCTTATAACAGACAGATGGCTGGTTACTGTATATATAAAATGTATTTATTCAGTAATATTTCTAAAGCTTTGTTTGAACAGGTGTTTTCAAGCGCAGATAGAGACAAAGATGCAGACATAAATCCACACATCCACACAAAAGAACACACAACAGTGTCTCTTTCACAGCAGCAAAGTCTTATCTTATCCAGAAAGAGCAGCTGCAAAGTATGACCCCTAGTTTAGCTGTTAATGATTGGCGGTGTGTGATTGGGAGCGTGTATGTTTGTGCATATATACGTTTTTGGGTTTTTTTGTTTTAACCCCCCACAATCTCCCCTTTTCTAAACTGACAGGAGCTTATTATTAGTGGTCTTGCTTTGATTTGTGAAGTTCAGAAAGGTGAATTTGAACATCTGTCGCATTTCAAGGTTGTTTCTCTAGGAAGCGCAAACACAGGCAGGGCTTAACTGCCAAGGCAATGGTTAAGTGAAATGCAAACACACACACAGACACACAGAGTAGGTATATGCGCCTTGAACTAATCATGGTGTGTGAGAAAATATATATATATGTATAAATATTTTGTTTTTGTGCATCGTTATAAGGTATTTGATTATTTTCTGTGAGACACAGGGTGCTGCTATATATTCAATGAGCTTGTGTCAGCCTCAGTGGTTTTGTCCATTGTGCAGTGTGCAAACAGTCCAGTTAAAGAGGAAGCCTTTACTCTAGCCACAAAATGTGCTTGTGGGGTAGCCACACTGTCAGCTTTAGACCCAAATTAGATATAATATCAGTTTCCATCTAAATAAACAGTTGTACCTAGAGAGCATAGTGATGTATACAGTATAGATGGTAAAAAAGAACACAGATAGTGTCGCTTTCCATTTGGATTCTCTGTCATCCAACACAGCGTGTAGCAGGGTATAAAGAGCTCTGGGTGCAGGCAAAGAAAGATTACTATTAATGCATGTGTATTAAACTAAATATGATGATTGACATCTGATATTCATGTGCAAAATGCTGCACTTTCAAAATATCATTGTTTGGTGTGATAGAGTAGCTTATATCATGCGCATCTCTGTGTGCATATGCCCAAGTTCATTTACACATCAACGTGTGTGCGAGCAGTCGTGTCAAGTCAGAGGTGACCAGTTGTCACTAAGCTTTGACAGAGACCAGGTATCACAGAGACATAGCGTCACCTTGTCACCTCCAACGTTTTTGTGTGCGCACGTGTGCGTTTGTGTCAGTGTGGGGCATACCTCTCCAGAGACACCTCCTAACCTGCCCCAGGCAAAGTGCCTGGATGACACACATGGAAGGCTCCCTGGAGTGAACCTCAGGTGATGAGACAGCAGCGTATGTGTGTGGTTCACATCTCCTGAGATTAACGATCTTCTTTGGAGAATTGATGGCAAACACACACGCACAGTTACACAGTTTTGACATAAGGAAAGTTAAGCTCTGCTCTTTCAGTGATGGTGCAGTCAGTCAATATCAGGGTCAAAGGAAAAGAGAATTGAGGACAGAAAAGAAGGAAGAAACAAACGAGCATCTCAATAAGGTTTTAAGTTTTGGAGAAATTAGAAGCCATCTTTTACACCAGCGCTCCACTTTACATAAAATGGCACCAGGTCTATGTATATATAACACAAGTAGCACATTTGCGAAACATACAAGAAATGGTTCTCTGCTTCACGCCTTTAAGAATATGCTTTGTCAGCGGGAAGTCAGTGACTTGTGGTATGTTTTCAGGGTAGAGGATGGAACACAAACAGATGTAAAATGAAAGATCTGTGTTGATTTATTCCCAAGTTTAAACCTTCATACAGTGCATTTGGAGAAACATATCATAGGCAGACCTATTGAGAGCCCTGTAAAAATGCTGTTTGATTGTGCAGACATGAGTACATGATGTAAATGTGTCTCAGCTTACAGCTTTAAAGACTTTGTATGTTGTGGTCCTTTTAGAAAAACAGAACAACCGTAGTTCTTTCCAGCATCCATCATGAGCAGTTTTGTGAAATCAGAGTGCATTTTATTACAAATATCAGGGCAATGTAGTACTGCATTTTGTTTTTCACTTTAGGAGTTTGCTTTGGGGTTTCTGTGACAAGAGGGGATATGATTTCTATTCTCTATGTTCAATCATATTAGAAACACATTGGATGTAATCTATTCTCCAGCAAAGTGATAAAGTGCTTTCTCACCAATTACCGACTGCCATCTCCCTCTTCACACCTAGCAGGCATGGGATGGATGGATGTGGCTGACAATGTGTATGTGCATGTCACAGAGGGATGGGGGAGAGGTTGGGAGGGGTGAGAGGGGAAAGGGGTAAAAAAAATGGGCAGCAAGAGCAACAGTGTCAGATTAAGTCAGAGAGAGGTTTTAAAAGGGTTGTCACTTGTGTTTACATTTTCTCAGTTATCATCAGCTGAATGACATATATTTGTTTCTGCAATATCACACCGCTGTATTTAGGCCCTCTATAGCAGTGTTTTTCTCTTTTCTTCCTCAAGGACCATTTTGCTCTGTGCAGGAATCAGAACATTTTGACACTGGATATTCATCTTATGCATGTCTACTTTGCTTTTCAATATATTCGTGGATTATCATTGATTAGGAATTTAAATTAGATTAAACACACACTGGTTTAAACAAACCAGACAGAGGTTAAATGTAATCTCTGGTAAGTGGCTATTTTACACTCGCTGTGTGTTGCAGTGATGACACAAAACAAGCATTGTGTGAATTGGAAACAAAGGGAAAAAGCAGTTGGCTCTTCCTTCAAATTGTTTTATTTTTTTCAAGAATGCAAACTCTCATTTAAAACAAACATGAACTGTACTAGACTTGTTTCAAAGGTTGAAGGCTTTAAAAAAAATCACATCCTCCATGTTTCTTATCTCAGTCTGGATGCTGAAAGCCATGTGCTAGTGAACTGAGTCTTAGTCAGCTGACAACAGAAATTCAATAACCACCAGCTGTTCAGCTCTTAGAAAAACATTTAGATTACTATATTTAATTGCACTGCACAAACAGTATATTTACAACTCACATTCTCTTAGATATCACTGCATTATCAAGCAAAAATGCACCAGACATACATGTAGATGGCTCTCCACTGACTGTAGGTACATTCATTCCATAGCAATGTGTTTTTAAATAACTGAATAACTGTAGATGTCCATATGTATTCTTTGGAGACATATGTGCTAGAATATAATTAACCAGGCCTTGAAAACAGAACTGTTTGATAGAGGAATGCATTAAAGTCAGAAAGAAAACAGAAGAAATTGTATCCTTTTGTATTTCCTTAATATCTCAAGGAAGAGAACAGCAGGCTAAATTTTTCTTTGAAAGATTAGGTCACAAAACAGAAAGCAGATATGAAGGTAAGTATGAGGAGAAAAGAAGATTACCTCCCCTCAGGACAAACTCTTTTAAAATTAAACAGGCAGTGCTGCCTGGAGGAAGGACAAGGGCAAGATGAAAGTAGCATTTGAAAAAAATCTTAAAGCACTCGAGACATGGAGCGGGCCACCCTGCTGAAGGACCTGGAAAACCAGTGGCAAAAGCATGTGAGCTATCTTTTAGCAGTGGAGGAAAGGGAGACTGGGATCAGCCGGGTCAGTGAAAAAAAAGGGAGCCTTACACAAAGGTGCATCTGAAGACCTTGGCCGACGAGAAGGAGGGAAAAAACAAGCAAGAAGGAGTGGGGAAAAATGTGAATGACTGAAGGAAAGCCTCTGAAAAAGGCTTTGAAGACACCCGAGGAGAGGTGAAAGAGGTGGTAAGTCAGGTCCTCCTCTGACCTGTGTGCATTTCAAATACTCTTACAGAGCACTGGCATTTTAAGATTTAAAGATACGTGTACCAAAGCCTGATTATTTGGGGGTTGCTGAATTTCAATTCAATGTCAAAGACTAAAACTGAAGACCTTTCATCTGTACTTTTATTTTAGAATTTAGGTCGTTTCATAAGTACCCTTTTCTCATATTTTCTTTTTCTTCCAGGTAATCAGTTGTTTCAAACCTAGTTTTAGTCTAATTTTAGTTAATTATGATAAGCTTTCTATGAATGCCTGATCTTCTCAACCCAATAAGACAGAGAAAGATACGTATCTGTATCTTTGGGCAGTTGCAAACTACATTAAGGTGTCTAAACTACAGGAGACTAAACTAAATATAGAGGCAGAGCAAAAACCTTGCTAGTCAGTGCTGTCTGTATTTATGTGCAGTCATATGTGTGTGTCTGCGTGTCTGTGCGTGAGGTGTCTTTGTCTATATGAATTTTAGGGTGTCTGTCTGCATGGTCTCCGAGGTGATGACTGTTGTGCTCACACCCACTTACACACCCACTCACGCTCCCACTAATGCACGAGGCTGTTTGTTTTGACTGTGCTTGACAGTGAGTGATGGCTGATTGACAGCCTCAGCTGATTTTTGTGCTACTAAAACTGCAGCCATCCAGCTCCACACAATTCAACCACTCTTTTTGCCAGTCTGCCACCACAGAGTTAGCAACAGTCTGCGTTTTGCCTCCCTCACTTCTCCAAGCCAGTCGCACTGCACTGCGGCAAGCAGGGGAAGCAGACACACACTCACCACTCCACTCCCAGATTTTTTGGAAGGGGAGAGAAGAGGAGCAAGCAAAGCCTTGACATAACTACGATATTTTTGCGCTTCTTGATGGAGAGCTGCTGTAAAATCCAGAAATACCTTTCAAAAATCTCTGTTTTCTTGCCTTGTGCTGAAAGTTGTTTCAAAGAGGCTCGGAGCATCATCCTGACAAAAGGAATATGCACAACTCAACCTGCCTGCCAATAACGAGACACAAAAAGTGAGAGGAAAGAAAACGAAATTTGGACCTATGTGGTGGATTTTGGAAGCGAACGAACACGCAACGTTCCAAGGGTCTTTTTCTTTTTTGGACGAGATTAAGAAGGCAGGGGCAATGCCAAAGGTTTTTTCCTGCCCTCTTTTAAAAAACAGTCTTGCAGCAGCTTGGGCTCTGGCTATGCTCAATCTCCACCTGCACGTTGCTAGGGAAAAAGCACTGGAAATGTCTCCGCTAATTCCAGGATATAGATGCGGCCGGGCCTTATAATTGTGCAGCTCCTGCACTCTCCATACGCAATATAAATCATATCCAGTACAGCGGTATCCAGCCAGGCGAGCAAGCTATCCGGCAACCGGCTCCCAGCCCAGACAAATTGCATCCCCAGTGGAGGAGAAGAAGAGGCAGGAAACGATGGGCTGAATGACTGGCAAGGGAGAGAGAGGGAGAAAGGAGAGGGGAGCTTCCAGACAGAGTGACCTACATTTAACAGTCTGGAGTTAAAGACAGAGGGAGAGGGAGAGAGAAAGAGAGAGACAGAGAGAAATGTATGAAGAAAAACAAGGTAGGGGGATGAAACCGCATGAATAAAAGATGAAAAGCAGAAGATGAGATACAGAAACAAACACAATCAGAAATTAGCCGTGGCAGAGGAGAGAGAAAGCCGATCCTCAGCGCTGTCTCTCCTACATTTAGTCTTTTTTTCCTCCATCCACTCATTTTACACCTTTCACACCCTTCCTCTCCCCATATCCAATGTTATTTTCTTCCTGCTATGTTGCTGCTTTACTTTCATCTTTTACCATTAATCATCCATTGTGTGGGGTGTCTGGGGGGAATGGAGCTGACTGTGGTGTAACCCAAGTCTCTGGCACACAAACAGCTGAGAAACAGAAAAGTCACCCCGGGACGTCGTCTTGGTTTTGCTTATGTTCTCCATATTTTTCCACAGATTTTGACTCTTTATTTTCTATTGCACCCTTCTTACTCCACATTGACCACCCACTCCAATTTTTCTCAGCACTCTTTAAACTTCATTCCCCTACGTTCAACCACCCCATAACCCCTCCCCTATATATTTACCTCTTTCTTCTTTTCTCTCCTCCCCAGCGTTTATCATGTATGGCTAACTCTAACCGCAACACTTTTTCATACTGGATTATGTTATCTAGCTTCTTTTATCTAGTGTCAGTAGAGAGGAAGCATAAAAGTAGCAGCAGCAGTTATATCTATCTGTGTGTGAGCCTAACTCATGAGCTCGGCTTTATATCTATTTGATTGCCTCATGAATAGAAAGCTGCCTGTCTGAAAGCTGATGGCCTCCAAGCTGGTTCTCACAGCTTTTGTGTAGCTGACTGTACAGTTGGTAAGGTGCGATATTCAAGTGTGACTGCCTGGCTGGTTGAGCATTTGTCCATCTGGCAGCATTGGATTTATATTGTGTCATTCTGCAAGTTTTTTTTCTTTTTCATAATGATTATTACTTTTAACAAAGAGATGTCTTAATTATCTTACGTGCTCTTTTGTCTTTAAGTCTGTTTTTTTTTTAATGCACACAGCATTGATCATTCCCACTGCAACCTTTTTATAGTTTTTACCAATTTTCCTCGTGACCCCCCCATCACTTCCCTCCCCTTACATGTCAGTCCTCAGGGATCAGTGTTAAGGACAAGAGCAGGAATTGCACTTGAAGGAGAGGAAATGACATGGGTAATGGAAGAGGACACACAGGCATCTGTCAAGGAAAATCGAGGCTGGGAAGGGGGAGAAAATGATTTATTCATGAAAGAGAATTACACTGCTTTCACCTTCTTGAATAGGCTTGATCAGAATCCTATATTTCCTTTAACTCTTTAAAGAAAAAGGTGGTGGGGAGCACTTCTTCCATCAGACTGTAAGAGCTTTTTATGCACTGCTCAGACTTTTTTGGTTTATATTCATTTTATGGTTTCCAACACATTTTAAACAAATGCCACGCACATTGCATTCGTGATGCGAGCTTCATGAACGCACAAGTACAGCCAGCTCTTTCTGATCTCTTTTGGTTTTGCTCACACAACAAATTCCAACATCACTGAATTATTTACTTATACCTACAGTCATAAAACAAATGTTGCTAATTTTATTAGTAGGATTTCTAGTTCACATCTACTGTAAGTAACAAAAAAACAATGGAAATATCCTAGAGAAGCATTTACGATTGTGTTTGTTAGCATTCATTCTTGCTCTCTCTCTGTACACGAGTCCAGGACAGAACACACTTTGCCCTGAGACATGTGAATTTATAAATAGAGTGTTATTTCCCCTCATTGGAGCACTCTGGCAGCTTAAATAATCACTAACAAGGCTTCTGCTTGCCTTGTAACCCTGACAGATACTTGCCTTGTTTGACAAGCTTGTTTTTGCTACTGTGCTCTCTCTGTATATCAGTATAATAAGGTTGACCTTTGCATAAACATTCACACAAAGAATCAGTAGCATCCCCCATTTTCTATACCCTCGTCTTCCCACATCATATATGACAGGTCCATTATTTGTAAATGGCAACTACACAGCACATCTCTTGCTTTAAGCCACTTAGAGTAAATCACATCTGTCGGCAATGGTGTTTTCTGTCTCTGTCAAAATTGCCTACTACTAAATGTACTTATATTTTTTCCTCTGTTGTTCTCACTTTTATCTTGTTTCCTATTGAAACCTGGTTTGTAAATGTCTCTAAAATCCCAAGGGAGATGAAAAAAGCCTTCATGGCTGGCACTACTTCAACATTGCCTAGTCTATTATTAGCCAAGTACATGGTGGACAATGCTAGTTGTCAGTAACAGTCATAAAAGTGCTGCAGAATTGGAGATTTTATGCAGGACTTCAACGCCAGGAAGCAAATGCACTCTGCTCCATGGTCCTTAATGTAACCGCCATCTATTTGATGTCAGTGAGGAGTCTTGGTTCTCGGCAGGTTTTGTTTTAAATGTGCTTCAAATAGTATAGTGATTTTTTTTATAACTCAAATACAGTTTATTTTTTAAACATAGTAATTTTAGCTAAATATAAATACAGATATATGAATATATTCCTAATAATAGAGGCATTTAACAAGTAAATGTGTTGTAGTGTTGCTGAATCTGGTTTCTAAATGAATGTGTGCTATGTTTCTCTTTAGTGTTGCTTTGTGTTTGACCCATAAAGTAAATTCCAAAGGTGGTAGATGTGCTGGAAAATAATCCACATCCATGGTGATGTAAGACTTTTTAGCAACAACTACGTTCAACAAATGCCACATTTCTGTTTCAATAGACCATTAGACGCTAAATACTAAAAAAAAACGCATTCATTCTAAATATCATTTAACATTTTTATTTCTTTAATACAAATGGTAATGAGAATTTTGAAAAACCCAGGCTTGTAGTCTTAACGCTCTCATCAGTGCCATGACACTCGTCCTCCTTGTGGTTTATTTCTAATGTCACATTGAGTCTGAATTAATGGAAATAACCGGCACACCAGGAGGTAATGTTGGCACAGTAATGCTCATGGATCAACCGGTGAACTGACCGCATAGCATTACATTAATCAAGGAAAAAATGTTTTTGCCTCTTATAAGTCACGTCCTTCACATTAAGCTTCCTCACTGTGTCTAATACAGTTTTGTCCTCAGTAGGCGGAAAAAGTGCTATATTATTCCTCATTATATTCTTTTTTGTTGTCTCAGTCATCTGCTTCCAAGACAGCACTGTTCCCTTTTCATTAACTCTTCCTGCTCAGATGCATTAGAGCCGACTGTTCTAATTATTATATGAAATGTTAGGCCTTAATAAGACAACAAGGCAATAAAGACTAAATAACAGGAAGTATCCTTAAACTATTTGAATGAAGAACAAATTGTTCACCTTTCTCCTGCTGACTTGTAGTTATATCTGATGTGTGAAAGGAGGAAAGTTAACATATACTGTTGTGATGGATTGTGATGTAGTCAGTTTGACTATCGGCTCTGAAGTCTGTCTGATGCATTAAGCTAAGCAAAAGGCATTTCTTTCAAATGATTCATCTAATTTCCTCCTTTCTTACTGACTTCCACAAATAATGGCAAGCGAATCACTTTGATGCTGTTATGTCGTTTATATTTTAATACAGCTGGTCATCTTTGGTTAACAGCCAGTAAATCCAGCAAGGCAAACACTAAATGATCAGGTAACAGGTAAGTGGTTGTACACTAAGTTTTCTGTAAGTATATTTCAAAAGAACTGTACAAGGCAGCTATTTGTGAAAAATATGATTAAAATTATTTTTCAAAACGCTGATTTTGTGACGTCTTTCTGCTTCTGCACATGATGACAGAAATACAGAAAATAAAATCACTTCCAAAGTAAGCACAAGATTTGTGATGTGTGTAGAGCTCCTCTGTTATAATGCCCATTATAAAATAACTGAAAGCGTCGCACTTCTTTCACTGAATCCGATCTTCTTCACACATTTTCATTCATTAATTTATTCCTACTTTTCTTGTTTTTGCTGCTAATCCAAACAAAACTTGTAACACATAACACAAAGCAGTATGCTGCTAACACTGAATTGGATTGTATGTTAATTGTATTTTGACATTTTAGAAAAACATCAAAGTGTTTACTGGAGATTCTCTCCACCATGCATAATGAAATATGTCACTTTGGTAGTCTGCTGACACAAAGTGCTCTTTGTTATTGTTTTTGCAGCCATCTCGCCCCTCCAGATGATGTGAGGCAGGTTTCATGTAGCAGGTCAAACCTGCTTTAAACCACTGACTCAACACTGTGACTCAGCCTGTGTTGAATAAACAGATAAAGAGATAACTCTTTTGAACTCGAATGGAAAAATCTAGCACACACACACCTCATAGTTTAAGTTTAGTGTACACAAAGCCGACTGTGTGAAACACATCTGTCCACTGTGTTCAGTTAAACTGATATAACTGTTCCCTTTCTTTTGCATTTGTAAGCAAAAATCCTGCAGATAGATCTGTTGCATAAAAATGGATTCTGCTATGCTTAAACATTTTATCTTTAAAGACAAAGATTACAAGGAAACACAATATTAAGGTCAGACTAACCATTTGAAGGCACACTGTTTCTTACATTATAGTCACATATTTGTATTATTAGTTAATCTTTTAAGTAACTTGGGCAGCTTTTTAACAACACCACATAACAACAAAAGTTCAGTTCAGTTGAATTCAGGCTTATTTACTTAGCTAACTTGAGGGCTTTTATACTGCGAGATAAAGACCTAAAGGATTCCTGAGAAAACCCCAAATAATCAAGCAACTTCCCATGAGCAAGTACTTTGCAATGGTGATAAGGGATAACTCTCTTTAAACAGGATGAAACATCAGTCAAATGCAGGCTCAGGAAGGGGTACCCATCTACCGTGACCAGCTGGGGTGAGGGAAGGGAGAAAAGAAAAAGAGAGCCTAGGGAGATAGGATTACACAGACTAAGAGAGGGAGGAAACAAAAATTTAATGACATGCTGGAGCGGTATATAAACACCTGTGACGTGAAAAACTGTGAGTGGAGATGAAATACTTAGAGCACCACATAAATCACGTAGCCGTATGAGCCTATATAATAATTATAACCCTGCACCATCACAGGGTCACCTGATCCAGCTTTAACAATAAGCTTCATCAAAAAGGAAAGCTTAGTCTGATTTTAAAAAATGGGAGCTGATTTCATGGGAGTGTGACCTGACAGTTGAAGGTTCTGCCTCCCATTCTACTTTTAGAAACCACAAGTAAGGTGGCAGTCTGAGAGCAAAGTGCTCTTTTGTGATAATGTGCTACCGAGGTCTTCAAGATAAAATGGGATCACATCAAGACTTAGTAAGTGAGGAGGACAAAGATTTTAAATTCAACTTTGGATTTGATAGGGAGTGGTGAAGAAAAGCTGATATGGGGGAAATATGATCTTTCTCGTCCCTCTGAGTACTCTCACTACAACATTTTGGATTAAAAGGAAGCTTTTAGAACGTGAAAATAATTAATTACAATACTCCAGCCTGGAATTAATGAATGTATGAATTAGTTTTTCAGCATCTGACTGAGACCGGATGTTTTTAATTTTAGACACATTGAGGAGTTGAAAAAGTCCTGCATACTTAATGTGTGTATTGAAGGACATATCCTGGTCAAAATTTATTCCAAGATTACTGACGGTGTTGCTGGAGGCCGAAGTAATACCATCTGGAGTAAGGATCTGATTTGACGCCATGTTTCTGAGGATTTTAGGGCAGAATATAATAACCTTAGCTTTGTTTGAATTTAGGAGAAGAAATTTATGGGAAATCAAAGCTTTTTTCTTTAAGACACACCTGCACCAACTATGTTCTATAACTAATTGAATTATGCATGTGGCTTTAAAGATAAATAAATAGAGGAATAATATAGATAAAAATAGTTGGGTTTCATCTGCATAGAAATGAAAATGTATCCTAGTGTTGTGTTAATAATATTACCTGAGGGAAGCATCTATAACATAAAATGTCCAGCAAAAAACCACGTGGAACTACATGGCTAACTTCCCACATAGCAAGCAGGTCTGGCCCGGATCTGGTATCAAGCCGGCACTGCTGGCTGACTTCTGGCATGATAAGACGTATGTCATCCAGATATGGGCCAGGCCTGGCATAGATGGCACTGTCTACGTGATGGCATGCCATATCTGGCTTGATTGTGGTTTGGGTTATGTGGCCCAGGCTCATAGAAAATAGGTCTGGCCCAGATCTGGCATCAAGCTGGCACTTCTGACTGACCGGTGTCTTGGCAGAGTGTATGTCAACCACATATGGGCCAGGTCTGGCAATGATGGCACTATTTATGTTCCTATTTTAGTTAGAAGATCCAAATGCCATGTTGCAATACTATACTGCTATGGTAGCTAATGTTTCAAATGCAGGTCTGACAAGTTTGTGAGTGTACACTTTATCCAAAACCTAGTAACGGTTTACTCGTGTTTACCACTGGGTGGCTGTAGCTCGGGCGGTAGAGCAGGTCACCTGCTGATCGGAAGTTTAGTGGTTCGATTCCTGGCTCCTCCAGTCTGCATGTCAAGAGTGTGAATATGTATGATGCATGTAGTTAGAAAGCTCTCAGTTAAGAGAAAGTGTGTGATTGGGGGAATGTGGCATGTTGTATAGAGCACATTAAGTATTCTGGGAGAGTAGTAAAGTGTTATACAATAATCAGTCCATTCGCTGTCTGAACAGAGTTTCGGCATGTTACTTTTGCACTGTTTTGCATGTTCTGGCACATGTTGTTATTACATGGCTTGATTAAGGTACACATTAGAGGCTGATATCTGGGGCCAGAGCTGAAACTGGTCTGGGCCAGCACAGGGCCAGCAGTCTGTCTACAACTGGCCCGTGGCTGCACACCACCTACAGATGGCTCACATACTGCAAAGATTGACGGCCCTTTGGTGGCCCAGATCAGGTTTGCCGGAGGTAATCCACACATGGGCCAGCATAGGACCAACAGTGTGTATGCAACTGGCCTTGTGCTGGCCTATGTATGGCCTTGTGCTTAATAAGGATGGAAATTGTTCTAGAATTACCTAAGATAGTTCGATGAAGTAAGGACTTTTTACCTTTTTTTTATATGCATATTAAATTGTGGTGCTGGGTAATGATCATACTTTTTTGATCGGTCTTCTAGGAATGATGTCCAATAAAGATGTAGATGATTTAGAGGAAGATATTATTGAAGTTAATTCAGAAAGATCAATAGGCATGAAATAGTGTAATCAAATATCAGCAGTTATTAAAGTTGCTGTAATTAATCATATGTCTGAGGGATGACTGTGAATATTTTTTTTCTCTTATGGTTGGAATTTTATTTTTAAAGAAATCTTTTTTTAGAGAGCAAAAAACTATAACAAAGACTTATTTAAATTAGTACAATGCCATTTTTACTTTAAGGCATTTAAGAATCATCAATTTGACTCTTTGATTTGACACTTTCTTTTTTTGGAGTGACTGTATTCAGGGCCATAAACCATAAAGATATAATACTATTACCAAGATAATTGACTTCTGTGGGAGTGAGGTTCTTGTAACTGCTCTTAATTGTGTTGGTACAAAGAATTCTATTGAACATAGAAGGAAGAACTTTAAATTGTGTTACAGCATTTTCAGTGAAATATCTAGTGTACCGAAAATGTTTTCCAGTTCGGTGTAGTCCATTATTATAAATTTAAATGTTATTAAGAAATTGTCAGACAAAAGAGGGTTTTCAGGAAAAACTGTTCAGTGCCATATGTACGTTACTTTACATTTTGAGAAAAGCCAGCTGAGTCTAATAATTCAATACAGTATTGAGGCTGTTATTGGCAAAATATATATGAATGTTAAAATAATTTCCTTGGCCTTTGCCTTGAGGATTCTGACAGTTAATATAACTTCAGTTGTTGATTCATTTAAACTATCATATTCATTCTGCTGCAGCCAGGTATCTGTGAGGCAAAATAAATCAATCTTTTAATCAATTAAGTCATAAACTGTCAGGGACTTGAAAGAGAGTAATCTCATGTTTTTAATACTCCACATTTATTTTTATTTTTTTTGTTCTTTAGTACAGTTAAAAAAGTATTTTTTTCTTGTGATTTTTCATAATTCAAATATTTTTTTCTGGTATTTTGTTTGTTCTTAGGTGGTCTAGGACAGCGGTCCCCAACCTTTTTTGCGCCACGGACCGGTTTATGCCTGACAATATTTTCACGGACCGGCCTTTAAGGTGTTGCAGATAAATACAACAAAATAAAACTAGTACCGGTACCGAAAAAAGACGATTTATTCATAACACACGTGAAACGACCCAGAAAAAACAAGTAAACGACAAAAACGATAACAAAATTATGCTAAAAACCGATAAAAACCCTGAAAACCATACATTTCACACCCGAACCTCAACTCTCGCGGCCCGGTACCAAACACAGACCGGTACTGGTGACTGCTGGTCTAGGAGCAGACAGTCTCCACAGGATTTGGTTTATTGGTGGCTATGACAGTCATGCAGATGCATTAAATAATTAAAGTCCCCATTTAAATGAATTACTCTATTAAATTCAGGACTACTGTATTACTGTAATCCTGAATTTACTAGACTGTGCTTACTGTAGGCGGTAATTAGATTGAAATGAACAAACCTGAAAAATGTGAACTGGTCACTCAAGGGATTGAAGCTTGACGTGTAGTTCTGGTTCAGCCTTTAAGTCTGACGTCATTAGCCGTTTCCGGGTCCAAACTCCGCTACAGGTCCCAAAGTCAAAAGAATACTGCATCACCACTGAGAGTTACAAACTGTCAAAATTCTTTCATCTTTAATAAAATGATCAGTGTGGCTGCTTTACCAGGTGTAACAATTAAGTTTAACATC